TAAACCCTGGTGCATTTGTGTCCTTAGTCCTTGGAAAATAAAAGTCAGGAGGCCACAGCGTGGGACTGTGGGGGCCCCAGAGCAGTAGAGCCCCAGGTTTTGGGTTCCACCCCAAGCACGGATGAAAAGAGAGCATGGGGTGTGGCAGAGAAGAGAGCTCCCCAAGCACACACCTGCAGGCAGGCGGGCGGGCGGGCAGCCCCACAGCCCTCGGCAGGGCTTACGCAAAGGGAGGGTCTGCGGCACCCTCTGCGCCAACTTCCTCCTCATCTCCACTTCCTCTGTTCAGTGTTATGCATGACTTTTTCTTCTGGTTCACTAACCCTTGATCAGCTAGTCTGTACTTTCTTGTGCTTTTTGTTTGCTTGTCGCTATTTCTTTTTGAGGCAGGGCCTCACTGAGCAGTGCAGGCTGGACTTGACCTCACAGCGCTCCTCCTGCCTCAGCCTCCCAGGTGTGCCCCACCACGCCCCGCTTTTGGTTTGCTTGTTTTTGAGTCAGGGTTTCATTATGCGGTTCAGGCTGGCCCTGAATTCACCATGGAGCCTGGGCTGGCCTTGAACTCAGTGACCCCCGCGCCTCGGCCTCCCAGGTGCTGGACTACAGACACCTGGCTAGTCGTGTTTCCTGCGCCGGTGGTGGCGCTGAGGCCTCCCGCGGTGACCAAGCGGCCAGGCCCTGGGCTACGCGGAGCCCCACGTTTTCCTTTCCTCTCCCTGCCCTGCTCTCCTCCTCAGCCTTGTCTCTCCCGGAGCGTGGGCCTCGGCCCGAGCTTGCTTCCCCGACAGCTGCCCGCCGCCCAGCTGGGCACCACCCTTCCCACACCTGCGGGCTCCTCCCAGGCCCGCATCTCCCCGCTGTGATCCCGCCGCAGCTCCAGAACGCCGTCCCGAGGAGCGAGCGCCTCCTGGAGCGCGGCTGCAGGTCGGGATGGGGGTGGATGGAGGTGTTGCGGCTTTGGCACTGGCTCAGCCTTGGAGATCAAAGGTCCCCAGAAGCGCTGTTTGCTTGTTTTGCTATTGGGGATTAAACCCAGGGGTTTTGCACTGAGCTATATCCCCAGTTTTTTTTTTTTTTTTTTTTTTTTTTTTTTTTTTTTTTTAAAGACAGTCTTTGTTTCTGTTTGGTGTGGGGCTTTGTTTATTCTTGGTTTTTGTGTTTTGTTTTTGGTTTTTTAGAGACAGGGTCTGGCTATACAGTTCAGGAAGGCCTTGAGCTCACTTTCTGTAACCCAGGCTGGTCTTGAACTCAAAAGGATATTCCTGCCTCAGCCTCCCAAGTGCTGGGATTACAGGACTATGATACCACAACCAGCTATTTTTAAAAAAATCTTCAAGGGGGCTGGTGAGATGGCTCAGTGGTCTAAAGCACCTACTTAGAAAAAGCTTAGCAAAGCACAGGGACCCCGGTTCAATCCCCCAGCACCACATGCCAGCCAGCCCGGCCCCCTGGTGGGCTGAGCTGGCCCCACACACACACATAAATAAATAAATCAATCTTCAAAACTAGCCTGGTGTGGTCGTGCACAACTGTAATCTCAACATTCTAGGAAGCTAAGGCAGGAGGATTGTAAATTCTAACCCAGCCTGGGCAATTGAGCAACTCGTGAAGACCTTGTCTCAAAATAAAAACAAAACAAGGCTTGGGGATGTAGCTCAGTGCAAAGGCTTTGGGTTCAATCCCCAGTACCAGAACAAAACTACCAGCTAAGCCCAGCGCTAACCTTGACACTCAGAAGGGTGGGGCAGGACAACTGTGACTTCAGGATCAGCCTGGACTACTGAGTCTTGCACCATTCTCAAAACACTAATAACCACAGCACATTCCTGTAATCCCAGCACTTGGGAGGCTGAGGCAGGAATATCCTTTTGAGTTCAAGACCAGCCTGGGTTACAAAAAGTGAGTGTAATGGCACATGCTTATAATCCCAACACTTGGGAGGCTGGGGCAGGGGATTCCTGCAAATGTGAGACTTTGTTTTAAACAATGCTTGCATGGCAAGTGTGAGGTCCAGATTTTAATTCCCAGTACAATCAATCAATCAATCAATCAATCAATGCAAAAACCAAACCTTTAATGAGGTGAAGTACCCAGAAAGCCTACAAAGAGCTAACTACTGCCACCTGGGACCTTGTCACGAAGCTCAGGTCTCTGGGTTTAGTCCCTAACGTCAGCTTTCGTGGTAACAACTCAAACACCCACAGAATACTAAAAGCAGGTCTGCAAAAGTAAAGCTAGCTGGTGATATGTTCAAGCAAGTCCTAGGACAGGAGGCAGCAAAAGCTGGTAACTTTTTTTTTCTTTTGGTCTTTTGCTTTGAGACAGTGAACTGTGCATTCAGGCGGGCCTTGAGCTCACTCTGTATCTCACGCTGGCCTCCAACTGGCCATGATCCTCCTAATGAGCCTCCCCGAGTGCTGGCATTACAGGTGCAGGAACAATTTTTACATGTCCCTTACAGGATCCCCCTTCATTGTTCAAACTGGCTTGAACTCAGTATGCACCCAGGCTGACCTCAAACCTGCAGCAACCCTCTTGCCTCACCCTCCCGAGGGCCAGGACACAGACCACTACGCCTGGCTAACAGGTCTAGGTTTTTTTTTTTCTTTAAATGTCTTTTTTTAAAAAATGCATTTAGTACAGGGTCTAGAGGGTCTCACTACACAGCTCAGACTCTACTGATCCTGTTTTCAGCCTCCCAAGCGCTGGGATTACAGGCGTTCACCACCATGCCCAGTCTCAGTCCGTGTCAGCACATCCAGGGGCAGGGCCAGCATGGCACACCGGGGATCAAACCCGGTCCCTGCCTCTGCCGAAGCAGGCGCTTTAGTCCACTGGGCTATCTGCCCAGCCCCCTAAAGATATCTATTTTATTTTATTTATTTATTTTGCAGAGCTGGGGATTGAACTCAGGCCCTTGAGCTTGCCAGGAAAGCACTTATTCTACTGAGCCATCTCCTCGGTCCCAAGATGTCTATTTTAAACCAGCATGTTTTTGAGATGAACTCCATATAGCAGCACTAATCCTGGAGTTCTGGGACGCAGCAATTGCAGTTCAGCAAGGCAACAAGACCAGATGACCTCAGCCCATGGCTAAAATGTCAGTTTCAAAGGAAAACCACAAGAGAAAGCAGGCATGATGGCACAAGCCTGAACCCAGCACTGGAGGTGGCCGAGGGAGAAACCTTTCAAGGGCCGGCCCAGCCAGAGCACTTTGTGAGGACTTCAGTTCAAAAAAGGGGAGGTACACCGGAGTCTCCTGTCTACCAGGCAGCTGCACCACCCAATGGGACGGTCCCTGGCCACCCAGGAGTCCTGTGCCTCAGTCTAATCAGGGCCAGGGATGTAGCTCACAGCGTAAGCACCTGCCTGTCAACCGCAATGTCCTGAGTTTGATCCCCAGTACCACAAAAAAAGCCTTAAAGCACATCGAAGTCTAATTTAGAGACATGTAAATTACAGCCCCATTAGAACTTTTTTACATTTAGTACTCTGAGGCCTCACTACACAGCTGGGACTCGTAGTAATCCTGTTCTAGCTGCCCAGCGCTGGGCTTACAGGTGTGCGCCACCATGGTGGTGGGGATGGGTCTGTCCCTGCCCTTGCCTAAGCAGGCGCTTAGGGCACCGAACCATCTTGCCGCCCCTGCCATCAGAACTGTTACAGAAAAGTATGGCTCCTGGGTCTATGATTAGGAAGCTGAAGCAGGAAGATCACCACGAGCCTGAGGCCAGCCTAACCACATAGCAAGAGGCTGTCTCCAAAAAATAAAATGATTAAAAAACCTTGGGTGGGGCCTGTGATCCCAGCACCTGGGGGGCTGAGGCAGAAGGACCAAGTAGGCCAAGCAGGCCAGCCTTGGCTACCATGGGAGCTTGAGGCCAGCCTGAGCTGCACGAGACCCTCAGAGACAAAAACCAGAAAACACCTTTTGTTGGTAGAGGGCAGGGACCGCAGAATATTCAGTGGAAACACACACAAATTCCTCTTCCATTGCTATCTATGGTCAATACTGATCCAAAATATAGTAAATATTTGAAAAATTGAAAGGCCGGCCAGATAGCTCAGCAGACTGAAGCACCTTCTTAGGCAGGCGCAGGGACCAGGATTCAAACCCACATGCTGTGCTGGCCCCAAACCCAGGGGCTAAGGCCGGGCATGGTGGTGCGCATCTGCAATCCCAGTGCGTGGGAGGCTGAACACAGGACAGAGTCACATCTGGGTAGTGAGACCCTATACTAGATAGTTTAAAAAAAGAAACTAACTCCGTGCAAGCTGTTACAGGCATCACTAACATTCCTGGGGGCAGCGCAGCTTTGCCCAGAGTACTCAGGACAGCTGGCCCCACCTGGCTCCACAGCAGCCATCTGTTCAGCTAAGCAAGCAGCTCATCTGTCAAGAAGGGTTCAGCAAAGTGCCAACAGCTTGAAATTGAACTATTACACAATTATCTTACCAATTTCATTGTACCCAATATGTAAATTAAACTATCATGGAATGAAATGTATAGAAAATAATGGGCCGGCCAAATAGCTCAGTGGATTAAAGTGCCTGCTTGGGCAGACAGAGGTCAGGAGTTCAATCCCTAGGCCTGCTGCACCAGCTCTGCCCCTAGGGCGTGCAGCACTTGGGAGGCTGTAAACAGGAGTCCAATCTACGCTTTGAGACCCTGTAGATCCTGTCCTAAAATACCAAAAAATTGTTTGGGGGCTGGGGAGATAGCTCAGGAGAATAAGCGCTTGCCTGGCAGGAGCGAGGGCTTGTTTCTATTTCAGGAATTTACCAGGGGTCCTGGACCATACTTCCCTGGGTTCTACTGTGTGTATCATGACAGTACATATATATAATGCCAGCACTCTAGGAGACTGAGGCAAGAAGGTCTCAAATTCTAGCTTAGCCTAGGCAACTTAGATCCTATGGGGGGATAGGATCTGCAGCCCAGACTTGTTTTTCTCTTCTATCATTCTTTTCCTCAAGACCAAATAATCCACTAATTCTTTGTTTTTAAAGTACTTTATTAGTTGTTTTGCAGAGGTACTTCCTTCCAAAAACCAAAATAAATGTAAGCACACATTTTCTACTTAGTGTCATAAAACTTCCAACTGGAGTTGACGACTGTTCCTGCAGATTAACACAGGATGACGTAAGCTCTTAGCATCTGCCCAGCATCAGACAGACAGGAGACGACATCTGCCAGCTAAAATCTGAAATTTCACAAAATGAAAAACATCAGAACTGCACAGGCAAGTGGTAGCATAAAGATGAGCTGGCGGGGCAGGAGCTGCTGTCCAAGAGGGAAGCCCAAGAATGGATCAGGTGCTTTCAAGGCTCCTCAAAGAAACTCAGAGACTCTAGTCCAACCAGGTCATCATTCCCACTCTTAGAGCCGGGAACAAAAATGACACTCACCTGCAGCAACGGGAAAAAGGCCTTGGTGATTGTGGTCACAGCCCGCAGGCGCCACAGCACGAAGGCTATCCAGGCCTCGTAGGACCGCAACCATCAGGGAAGGGGCCGAGCCCAAACCTTAGCTTTTCCACCATCAGGTTAGGGGCTCCCCTCCTGCTTGGGGCTGCAGAACTCTCATGCTGGAAAGACGGAAGCAAGAGAACCACTAAGAGCCAGCGCTGCGAAGCCCTCCCAGAGATCCGAGCAGCCAGTCCCCTAAATGGGTCAGAATTTTTTTTGACATCAGGACCAGTGTCAGAGACTCTAGTCTGTGAAATCATCATTCCCAATCTAGGGACATCTGGATCAAGGAAACATTCTGGGAAGAGCGACAACACACTCAAAGCCCCCGCCCTGGCATAGCAAGATCTTTAAATCCAAATTCAGAGACAGCAAAGCTTGTTCAGAACAGAAAAGCAAACTCAAAACAGCAGACAGCAGCACTTAGGGCCCTCATGTATCCACTTCATTTTTTAAAATATACTTAGCACAAGCCTACAGGGTCTCACACTACGGAGATGGACTCATACGGATTCTCCTGTTTTCAGCCTCCCAAACGCTGGGGTTACGGGCTCCTGCCACCACACCCAGTCTTGATCACCATCTCGGAACCCCGGCCCAAGCAGGCTAAGCTTTAGTCCACTGAGCTACCGTGCTCGGCGCCCATGCACCCATTTTACAATAACACGGAGAGTACGCAGCATCAAACCGGGTGTGGTGGGGCCGGAGAGATGGCTCAGCAGAATAAGCGCTTCCCTGGCAAGCTCAAGGGTCTGAGTTCAATCCCCGATTCCACCAGGGGAAGAAAAAAAAAAAAAAAAGGTGACCCTGGCCTGCAATTCTACACTTGTGAGGCTGAGGCAGGAGGATCACTGGAGTTCGAGACCAGCTTGGCCTACCAAGGCCAGCCTGAGCTGCACAGTAAGACCCTATCTCAAAAACACGAACAAACAGAACAATTTGTCGCGAAAGACAGCTCGGACACAAAAGGAGGGGAGCGGCAGAGGCTCTAAGGCCTTAGGCATCACATTACCTGTATTTAAGGGTGACAAACGGCGGCTACCTGAAGACTCCTGAGGAACTAAGACAGCAACCGAAACGTCAGCACGTGTTCCACCCCGGCCCCCCACCTCCCCTAGCCCAAGAACTACTCGATGTTTTGCGGGCCGAGGAGCGAGCGGTCAGTGCGCTGCGGTGACGGCATCAGCGAGACACTCAGAATCACCGAAGTCATCATCACCCCTGTGCTCCCCCGCGGCGACCGCCGGCCGCTGCCCACGTCGCACGCAGCCACAAGCCACCTACCATCTCGCCGCGCAGGCTCGCCCGCCTTCCAGGCGCAGGAACCTGAGGAGAAAAAAAAAGGCCTTTGCGCTAGCGGAGACGAGGGAGGCGCCAGCCGACCTCCCCGCGCCAGGGCTGGGTCAGTTTCAAGCAGCGGCGTCACGGTAACCTCAGAAACTCTAGTCTGCAAGGTGAATCATCCCGCTCAGCCCGGGGTACAGCCTCGCCCCAGCAGCGCCCCCGGTACCTCCGCTCGGCTCCGCAGCGCTCGCCCATGGGGACACCAGGCAGACGGCACACCTCAGGCGCCATCTCGCTGGAGCCGGGCACACAAAAGGAAGACGAGCTCGGGCCCGAGCTATATATGCAGGCCCTGGGCGGGGGTCCTGCCGGGCACGGTCGTCTTCTTAGATGCCTGACTCACGCGGAACATTTTCTTCATCGTTCGTCCCCATTAGGAATGAAACAGTAAAAGAGAAGTCATGGAAATATGTTCTTCCGTCAAATAGTCGGAGATATTTCGTAAATTTTGATGAACCAACAGCAATAACAAAAACAAAATACAGGCGAACTGGCTGGCCATGCGGGTCCCTGGCAGGCAGGACCCGGCGGACGGAAGTGGTGGGCGCGCGCCCGCCTCGCTGCTAAGGGGCGGTGTGTGCGTGCATGCGCGTCCTCGTTCGCCGAGCTGCCTCCTTCGCAGTTTTCGGCCACAGGTCTTGGTAAACTGTCTCGGCTGCTTGAACCTGTGATCCTCTTGCCTTAGTCTCCCAAGTAGCTGGGATTTTAGGTGTGCACCTCCGTGACCAACTTCATGCCCTTTTTTGGTACTGGAGATTAAACCTAGAGCCTTCACTGAGCTGTTTCCCACCCCTGCCCCTCATCCATCCATTCATTCATTCAGCCTCCATTTTCTATTTACTTGTCTATTTATTTATTTTTTTAAAAAATTTATTTATTTTATTTATTTATTTGTGTGTGTGTGGCCAGCTCAGCCCACCAGGGGGCGGGGCTGGCTGGCATGTGGTGCTGGGGGATCGAACCGCAGTCCCTGTGCTTTGCTTGGCTTAGTTTGTTCTAAGTAGGTGCTTTAGACCACTGAGCCATCTCCCCAGCCCCTTGTCTATTTATTGAGGGAGGGTCGAGACAAGATCTCACCATGTAGTTCAGACTACCCTTGAACTACGTAGCCTAGGCTGGGCTCCAGCTTGCAGCGATCAACCTGTCTCCAGTGTTAGGACCACAAGATTACAGGCATTCACCACCAGCCTGGCTTTTTGTTGTTGTTGTTTTGATACTGGGTATCATTATGTTGCCTAGGATGGCCTGGAACCCCTGGAGATCCTCCTGCCTCAGCCTTTCCAGACTGGGATTACAACATGTGCCACCACACTGGGCCAGTCCTTTTTAATTTTTGAAACAGGGCATTTGCTAAATTGGTAAATTGAAAGGAGTAGCTGAGCAGGAGGATTGCTGCAAGTTGAAGGCCAGCTGAATTTAATGAGATTACCTATCTCAGAAACACAAAAAATTGCTCCACTGCCAGACCAGTGGTGAGGAGCCTGTGGCCCTTGAGCTGCAGGAGGCTGTTTACAGCGTCCAAAGCTCTGAAGGGTTTACCATCACTGGGGCAGCTGAGCTTGCCTGTGCCATCCTCCAGCCTCTCTGCCTCCCACATGCTGAGCTGACCGGTGTTAGTCACCGTACCTGGCTACACATTCTTCTTCCAGCGAACAGTGGTGGACATGTTCAGGATCCTCTCAACTGCACTTACCTGGCAGGTGACAGACATACGTGCTGCTGAATGAGCACTGTCCCAGCAGAGCTGGGAGCATCGACTCAGTGAGGACTCGCCACAGGGGAGTCCTGCTCCTGCAGCGTTCCCTCAGCAACATGCCTTAGGCGTTGGCTCCAGCTCCTTAATGCACCAACTCCTGTATCAGTCGATAGATAGATAGATAGATAGATAGATAGATAGATAGATAGATAGATAGATGATAGATATCCCCCCCCAGGAACCGGGGATTGAACGCAGGACCCTGAGCTTGCCAGGCAAGCGCTTATTCTACCAAGCTATCCCCCCAGCCCAATCATTCTAGACCCTACCTTGCTGGGCCCTTCTGTACATTATTTATAGATGACGATGTTTGGTGGTGTGTTATCTTTTTTCTTTTGTGAGAAAACCATATTGAATCCAAACCATATAGTCTTTTCTTTTTTTTTCTTTTTCTTTTTTCTTTTTTTCTTTTTTTTTTTTTTGTGGTACCAGAGATAGAACTCAGGGCCTTGCACTTGCCAGGCAAGCACTTATTCCACTGAGCTCTCTGTCCAGCCCAATATAGTCTTCTCTCTGCATAAGAATAAAATTTACAAGGCCAACGTGTATAGAGAAAATACATTTTTCCTTATTCCCCTGCAGTTATTCTGTCTGCCTTCCCTTGCTTGAAGTGTTCTGCCTTCCATCAGACCTCTTCCACAATCACTTAGTGATCATTTGTTTGATAGATCACGCTGCACTGGAGTCCCACCCGAGTAATGCTCCAAAGTGACTTTGAATCCCAAGTTGTGGATGCAGTAGCTTCTCATATCCCTTGCTAGTGAGCAGCTTCCCTCGTGAGGAATTCATGAATGTCGTTAACTAGCCCAGCTTCAGGGACTCTGTGCTCACCCACCACACTGCTCCTCATTTCTTTGACCTCTTTCCTTGTGGCTGCCGACACTGCCTCAATCTCGTAGGGCTCCTGGAGCATCTGGATTCCAGCTCACAGCACACCACCTCTGGTCAACAGCTGCTGGTCCTGCGAGCACTGACTCTTTGCTGTCTTTCTCTCCCATGCCCGGTCTTCCTAAAAATAAAATCAGAAGTAGCCTCTGGCTTCTAATGGTTTTCTCACCTTGGCCTGCACATTAAACTTCCTGGGCGGGCTGGACTATATACACTGCTTTGGCCACTTTTGTTCTAAACTGGCTTTGTATCTTTTTTAGTTTCCTCCAAGTTATTGCTGTTTGTTATTGTGCTGGGGATTGAGTCGAGGCACTCATGCGCACAAGGCAAGCGCCCTACTGCTGAGCTAGGCGCCCAGCTCCCAAGTGGCTTTAGTACACCCCTGCGGTGGACAGCCGTGGCTCGAATACCGCTTCACTTCAGGATGTGTTCCCTCTACTTCCTGTCGGGTAAGAGAGACACTCCCAATTTTACTATATAGCAGTGAAAATACCTTTCCAATGTGCTGTGGTCAGAGGCTAGAAGAGCACTGTAGTTCATCTCTTCTGAGTAAAACAGGCCAGAAACCAAAGAAATCCTTAATTCTGTTCCTTTTCTATTGGAAGCTTCCTAAGGGGCCGGGGAGATGCTCAGAATAAGCACTTGCCTGGCAAGCAAGGCCCGACCGAGTTCAATCCTCAGCTGCGGGCGGGGAGCTTCCTAACAGAGTCTAAGGATGAGTGAAAGTGTGAACTCCAAACTGAGCGATTTAGGAGGAAGTCGTCCCAGGCTGTTTTGAGGAAAAAGGAGGTTGGGCAGTTGTCAAACTCTTTGTGGGAGGGAACCTCAGTGCTGCGGCAGGAAGAACCCCAAGAAAGGCCTGGGTCCAGGGAAAGCCCGTTGCACTGATCTTCCCAGCTGTGTCCCCTGCAGCTTTTTTTTTTTAATTTTATTTATTTGTGTGTGTGTGTGTGTGTGTATGGCCAGCTCAGCCCAGCAGGGGGCGGGCTGGCTGGCATGTGGTGCTGGGGGATTGAACCTGTGTTTTGACTAAGCTTGTTCTGAGTTAGACCACTGAGCCATCTCACCAGCCCCCCTGCAGCTTTTTTCTACTTTTCTTAATTAAATTTGCTATGGTTTTCCTGTAGCTATTGTTTAAGGCTGCTTGATAAATCTGGGGTAAAAGCACCATGTAGAAACATAAAAGAAGCTGGGGTTGATGGTGTAGGCCAGTAATCCCAGCACTCTGGGAGGTTAAGGCTAGAGCATTACAAGTTCAAACCCAGTCCGGGCAATTTAGTGTACCTATCTCAAAACAAAGGCTGTGGGTATAGTTGAGGGCCCTGAGTTCAAAACTCAGTACAATGGTGGGGCCTAGCACTTGGCTGGTAATCCTAAAACTCAGGAGGCTGAGGCAGGAGGATGGTTGTGAGTTAGGGACCAGCCTGGGCTACAAAGTGAGCTCAAGTCCAGCCTGAACTGCATAGTTGAGACCCTATCTCAAAAAGACCAAAAAAAAAAAATCTTAGTTTTGGGGATGGAATCCAGGGCTTAAAGCACGACAAATGCTTTGCCATGGAGCTGTATCCCAACTCTTCAGAAACTTTTAGGAGACAGGTTACTCAGACAAATGCCATATTTCAGAGTAAGTAACAGAAGAGGAGAGAAGTTCTGAATAATTTGTGCCTAGTTAGCCAGGTAGGGTTACAGAGCCAGGATGTGAATCCACACCTCACTGCTGCTTGGTCCCACTGCAAGGGGCTGGGGAGATGGCTCACTAGAATAAGCGCTTGCCTGACAAGTTCAAGGGCCTGAGTTCAATCCCTGGTTCTGCAAAAAAAAGGGGGGGGGGACTGGGGAGGTAGACTAGCGGCATAAGCACCCGCCTGGCAGCACAAGGTCCTGAGTTCAATCCCCTCTTTTTTTTTCTTTTTTTTTTAAGTAAATTTATTTGTTCAGCCATTTACTTTAATGAGCATTTCTTTTTTTATTTATTTATTTGAGAGAGAGAGAGAGAGAGAGAGAGAGAGAGAGAGAGAGAGAGAGAGAGGTGTGTGGCCAGCTCAGCCCACCAGGGGGCG